GGTCAACTAAACATGGGCATAGTAACAATATTTTTATACTACATTTATCCATTTTAAACATACTAACCTCACTCTTTGTAACAACTAAGGCAAAAACGTAATTAATTCAGAAAATCTTTTCAGGACCCCACCTTGATGTTTTGGGACCCCACTTTGGGTCCCGACCCCAACTTCGGGAAACACTCATAAGTTATCCTTCATCTCATTCCTTGAATATGTGAAAAAACATTACATAATGAGGCAGAAATTAATAAGGTAAAGTAAGACTTGTGGGAATTGTTTTAAAATAATTAAATACAAATATTTAAGATGCACAAATGCATCTAAAAGTAAAAGGAAAAACAAAACTGATACATTTCTAAAAACAGAAAAATGTAAATTATGTTCTGATACATATGATTGATTGAAACTAAGCTGTAAAAATAAATATGAAGGTCAATTCAACTATAAAACATGAGGTAGAATTTTCCTTTTTAAAATTCAATATGTGCATTTTAATTATTTATTGATACATTTATTTATTTCTGCTTTTATTTCTATTTATGACAGTTTAGGTCCTTCATATAAAAATCCATGTTAACATTTGAAAAAAAGTTATTTTTTATTTATTACATAAGTTAATTTATGTATTTATGTAGTTAGAATGATTGGAGCATCCGTAAATACATAAAACATGGACATTTTTTCAGATGGCAGATCCTCCAGTACTTAAATTCCTGCCCTTCATTGGTTTTTCCTGCTYTCACTGTTCTGCATTGTGACATCATGTGAAACCCATCTATTACACAGCTTGTTTCTTCTCTTTACTTCTTCCTTTTCTTTTGAAGTTACAGTCCCCTCCAAAAGTATTAGAACAGCAAGTCAAATTCTCTTGTTTTTGTTGTCAACACTTGATTGGGTTTAAGATCAAAAGATGAGCCTGAGAGTTCAGTATGTCAGCTTTTCTGTCCTGGTATTTACATGTAGATGTGTTAAACAACTCAGAACATACCACCCTTTGTTTGAGCCTACCTGTTTTTCAAGTGAGCAAAACTACTGGAACATGTGACCGACAGGTGTCTCTTATTGACCAGGGGTGGGGCACCTGTCACTTTTCATGTGACGTCATTTGATGATAACCCTCCTATTTAATCTCTTATCTTCTTTCAGGTTTTTTAGATTTTCCTCATGTGAATTTATTGATGCATGAGATGAAAATGTCAGTGACATTTCAGAATCCACTCAGCTTCTACAAAGAACTAAACTCAACTGTTGAAGGAACTTCCTCTGAATTCACATTTGATGTCATTCTAGATGAACATAAAGTAAGTAATGTCTTGTGTTGTGAGCATGAAGAGTTGAGAGTCAAAAACACACGTAAAGAATCGAATACTGAAAATATGCAATGAAAAGCATTTACCACAATGTTAAACAAAACAATTCAGATGCAGCTGAAGTTCAGACTTTCAGCTTTAATTCAGTGGATTGCACTAAATGATTGCTTAGAAATGTGAGGAACTAAAGCAACTTTTAAACACAATCCCTTCATTTCAGAGGCTCAAAAGTAATTGGACAGATTAAATAATTGTAAATAAAATGTTCATTTCTAGTACTTGGTTGCTTGCTTGAAAAGCCTTTGTTGGCAATGATTGCCTGAAGTCTTGAACTCATGGACATCACTAGAC